CCTCTGGGAGATGGAGCTGCTGGATACGCAGCGGGAATTTCTCCTGTTCCTTCTGGCCCCACTGCCCTGGCCCAGGCCCAGGCAGCCGCCTCGGTTTCTGCCCTAGAACAAGGAAGGTCCATTCCTCCGTCTGAACCAGACGGACGGGTACCCTGCCACCCCCATCTCCTCCCTCACAGCCCCAAGCATCTGACGGGAGCACCCCCACCCAGGGCGCCAGGACACCCCCCTCAGGACAGGGCACCCTCACATTTGCTGACACCTCTGCCAGCCTGGGTGGCCCTGCTGGGGACCCATATTCCAGCGGGGAGAAGGGACCAGAGACTTGTCTATAAAACAGTAAACCCCACTGTTCAGAGGATGAGGGATGGACCCCAACTGCCATCTGCCTTCAGGGCTGCCCCGGCCCCTCTGCCCCGACCCCCGGGTTCATTCATTCAACAGGTACCTGTGGAGCGGCCAGGGCTCTGACTGCTTCAGGGCTCTGAAACAGACAAAAGCCCTGCTCTCCTGGAGGGAGAGGCGCTAAGAACCCAAGACTCAGTGAGATGGAGGGGGTCCAGGGTAAGGGCTAGGGGAGAACCCCAGCTGAGAGGGAGAACCCCAGCTGAGAGGGGAGAACCCCAGCAAACTCAGGTTTGGTCTGAGTGGGGTCACTTGCAATTTTCGGTGAGAGGCCAAGAAGGATCTCAGTGGGAAGCAGGCACCTGAGCAAAGGCGGAGGAGGGTGGGGGAGGGGACTGGGCAGGGCGGGGGGAGCCCTGTGGGAGGAGCAGAACTTTGCCTTTACGCCTGGGACCCCGTCCCTGGACTGTATGTTCACCTGCCCCTACATGTTGTAGGCAGACAGACATGAGCAGAGCAAGGACCATGGGCCGCGTCCAGGTAACCAGGGTGAAGAGCCCCAGGTGCCCAGCAAAGGCCGATTGCAGGGTGGGACCTCGCCCCCAGGGTGACCTTCCCTCCCCTAGCAGATGGCTGACCTTTCTTTCCTCCCTGCACATGACATCTAGGCCTCAGCTGGATTTCAGCTCCCGCCCAGATAAGCAACAAAACCAGCCTCGGGACCAGCTGCATCGGATAACGACCCCTGCCTGGTGCTGGCCAATCAGTGGAGACCACAACCCTGAAGGGACACACCTGGCAAGCTGCTGCACATGCGCCTGAGATCCCCCCGGGACCCCCCTAAAACCTCTGCCCTTGAAACCCTTAGGACGGAGGACCCAGCACACGCTCCCTCCTGTGAGCTCGCCCAGTGCCTTTCCCTCCCCCCCTCCTCAGGCGCTCTCTGGGAAGCATGCCCATGCCTTTCCTTCTCCCCCAGTCACAGTAGCTTCCTCACTCCCAAGCTCCAAGGGACCTCCCTTTACCTCTGGAACCTGTTTGCTAAGCCCATTTCTTCCAGGAATTACCCCTTCTACCTTGTAACTTACCCAATGAATGTTCTCTTACAGTTTGGGTCTTGCTCTGAATCCCTTTCTAGCCAGAACCCAAGCACCGAGGTTGCTAAACTCAGGTTTGGTCTGACCCACTGGTCCGACACCTGGTGACGTCCCCGCTGCCCACAACACCATCATACACATACATCGTCGAGTCTTACTCTTACACACAAACCTCCTGCCCTTATTCCTAAACTCTGAGGCCTCTGCAGCAGCACCTCAGACAAGTGCTATCAATAGAGAGAACTCTCTGGAAATCTTAAAGGTGCAGCCCCCCCCCTTTTTTTTTCTAAAAACCTAAAGATTTCAGGTTAGAAATTTTCTCTTTAAATGAGGACTGTCAAAAGAAAAAGAAAAAAGGCACATTCACGTATGCCCCAGGACCTTTGCACCTCCCAAAGAATTTCTAAGCAAGTGGATAACAGAGATATTTTTGTTAAAGTCACCTGCAGAGACGAGGGAGATTCGTCACCAATGCCAGACCAAGAGGCATGCCTCCATGAGGGTGGGCCCTAATCCCGGGACTGGTGTCCTTCTAAGAGGGAAACTGGACACAGAGACACAGAGAACGCCACGTGAAGACAGAGGCAGAGGCTGGAGTGATGTGTCTCCAAACCAAGGAACACCAAGGACTGCCGGCAGCCACAAGAGGTGGGGAGGCCTGAATCACACTCTCCTTCCGAATCTCCAGGAGGAACCGCCCTTGCCAGCACCTTGGTTTTGGACTTCCAGCCTCCAGACTGCAAGAGAAGACGTTTCTGTAGTTTTAAGCATTCCCGTGTGGGGTGCTTTCGTTATGGCAGCGCTAGGAAACATACATCTCTCTTGGCTGCTCTCTGAACCTGCGGGCGGATGTCCTGGTCTGATTTAACTGTGGGATGCTGGCATCGGTTCTTGACCTATTAACGCTCTGCGTTCAAGCTCTGATCCTGCCACCTTCCTGGCTGCACGACTTCGGGCAAGTTGCTGGACCTCTCTGCACCTCCGTGTCCTCATCTTCAAAGCGTGCCTACCTCCTGGGGCAGTTCTGAGATGTCGATGGAGAAATATACAGGAGTGGGCAAGAGCAGGGTTACGGTTGTTCATATGGAAAAAGACGGGCAGGTGAGGTTTATTACAAGCGCTTTAATAACCCAAAAGAATGTCACAAGGCAACTGTCCACATACTTTTGCCCACCTGCATATAAGGTACTTAGACCAACACCCAACAGAGACTTAACACTCAATACCTGTTCTACCGTCATTGCTACCCTAAGAGGTGTCAGTGTGGTTTTCCAGCCCATTCTCTGTGCCTGGAGTCCTTGGGTCTTAATAGTGTGTGCAGTTCCCAGGGGTGTGAGGCCCGGCGAGATAATGAATGTATCTCAAGTTAAGCACCAGGCACGGTGCCTGGCAGATAAGGGCCCTGAGCCAATGTGGGCCCCACCCATCGGTCAGAGACGGGCTTAGCCAAAGGGGGAGGCCCAGGTACCTCCTGGAGCTGCACTCCTGCTCCCCATAGGCTGAGGGTCCCTGAGCACAACGCTTTACACCTTTAGACCTCAGTCTTCCTCTCTGTACAATGGGACCTCAGTCTCCCCCTCTGTACAATGGTCTCCCCTCAGTCTGAGGCCTGACACCCCTCTACACAGGCCTCCTCCAGGATGGCCCAAAGCCCTCTTTCCCATCAACCCCACGAGTGCTAAGCTAATTCCTCTCTTGCCCAAAGAGGGTCGCCCCAAGTCTGCCTTTAATCCTCCCTACTCCCTGGGCTGGGTCAAACCCTTGCAGATTAGCTGTGTGGCATTGGGGGAATCACCTAACCTTTCTGTTCTGTTTCGTCATCTGACATGTGAGGAGGTGGGGTGGGGGGAGTGGGGTGTGTGTGCTGTGCAGGACAGTTCCAAGCTGTAGTGGGCATGAGCGGCCATGGGGCGTTAGGGAGAGTAAACCTGTGGGAGGGACAGTGTCTCAGAGCCTGGAGGCGGACACTGGGGTTTTGAACTCAGCAGCCCCCAGGCAGGCAGGTCACAGAACTGACGAAGGAGCTCCAGGCGGGTGGGGTCGGTGGCACTGGTGTCTGAGGGAAGGCAGGCCTGAGGCAGCCAGAACTGCTAACTCCTCAAGCGACACTGGAATCTGAATTTCTAAAAATCTTCAGCTTTTTGTTGTTGTTGTTAATCCTCACATGAGGTATTTTTTTCCATTGCTTTTGAGAGAGAGTGGAAAGGACGGATGGGGGTGGGTGGAGGGAGAGGGAGAGAGAGAGATATACACTGACTGGTTGTCTCCTGCTCATGCCTGGACTCGGGGCCAGAAATCACCCTTAGGTCCTCGGGTGGACGTTCTAACCACTGAGCAACCGGCCAGGACAAATCTTCAGCTTTTTAAACATTGAAAAGGAAACCAAATGTTTTAGAAAAGTGCAGGGGCCAC